CCATCCAGTCCAGCAGCATCAGCAGGGCAGCCCAGAGCTGCCGCAGCAGCAGCATCAGGACGGGCGTCACCATGACCGGCCTCAGCTGTCGGCGTTAAGACACCAACTGCCAGCGTCTGCGGCCTCACGGACCACCAGAACACAGCCAAGGTTCTGTGTCCACAACACGCAGCTGCCTGGCGACAGGGCTCCTCACTGTTGGGCGGGGGAGGGGCGGCCCGTGGGTACCAGCCACCCCTCTCCTCCCTTGGTCTGAGGCTCGTGGGCAGAGAGCACAAGCTGTGGCTCACCGTGTGCAGCGGGGAGGGGCAGGCCGGAGGCCCAGACCCAGGCCGCTGTGGCACCTGGCTCACAGCCCCTGCGGTCACTCAGGCCCTGCCTTTCCCTCCCTTGGGGGTGTCTGCCTGGGGCATCGCCTTCTCAGTGTGCACTTGGGGTCGCTCCTGTGTGTGCTGTCAGTGGGTTGTACCATGTCAACAGAACACTTACCTGCCAAAGCCAGCTGTCTCAACCTCACCTCCTCCCTGAACCCCGAATCTCTTGTGTTCACTGTCCATCTGGTTCCCCTGTCCCAGGAAAAAGATGCTCTCTAAGTTGCGAGCCCAACTTAATGCATGTGTGACTGAGCCTTCCCTTTATCTTCAGTTTCCCTTTCCTTCCTGGCCATCTCCTACTAATTGACCCCACCAGTACCTGCTCTGTTCGGGCCCTGTCTGTGCTGACCCGGAACCTCGGCCTACCTGCTCCTACATGGGAGTCTCCAAGGTGTGGCTTTCTTTGAGAGCAGCTTTCTAAGGGGAGAGACAGCAGCTCAAGATCTGACAGATGCCACCATCTTGCCCACCACCGCTGTGCCTGCCATGTCGCTTCACCATTCACCATCCCCACCTTCCCTGCCACCCACCATCCCCACTTCTAGCTTCAGGCCTTTCAACTGGCCATGGAGGTTTCTATTACACCTGCGTGCCACACCCCTCCACGCCAGACCCCAGTAGGTACAGCTGCTCTATGCTGCGGCTAGAGACCGGTGGCTTAGAGTCCTCCAGGTGAAGCTCCCCTGAAAGCAGAACTGTAATACTGGGACCCAGTTCCCAAGGACACTGGTGAAGTGGGCCACCAACAGTGGGTGACAGAAAGAATGCAATGGAAGCACAAAACTGTTAGCTGCCTGCATGGTTGCCTGTTCCGCACTTTACAGGAAGAACGGGCTCCGACGTCACTGCCCATGTGCTGAGTCTGCTCAGTGTGGGCAGAGAGCCCACCAGACATGGGGTGGGCAGCCCCTGAGGTACCCCCAAACCACATCAGCTCAGCCCTGGAGAAGTCATGGCATACACAGAAGTTGGCACGAAGTAGGCATGTGAACTGCCCCTTTTTTCATGCCTGGTTGGACAGGAGTTAAATCTCAGGGCCTGGTATTTGGGCTTCAGAAATATAAATGACTTTGGGACACCAGAAACAACTGCAGTGTTACATGCAGTATCCATGGATGCCATGTGAAGCCCCAGGTGTTGCTGCTTCTACCCAGGGGCCTTCATTGGAGGAAACACTAGGTCACAGTGAGGGGTTAATAAAATAGATAACATTCCCCCTCTGGTGTGACGACTCCTGGCTTCTACCCAATCCTGGGACCCCAACCCTAGTCCCCGTCCATGCTGGCCAGGCATGGCCTACTAGCAGGCTTTGCTTCTCACAATGTGCTTTGGATACCCCCAGCATGGGGGTGCACCCTGCAAGGGCCAGCAGCATGTCCTGCCACCCCTGAAACCTCTGGAGCCACGGCCAATCAGGCCTCTATGAACACCTGCCTAAGCCTCCTGGGGACAGAGAGCAGCTGAGTCCTAAGTGTCAACAAAATAAATGGGGCTGTGTGCAGAGGTCAGGAGAGGAGCACAAGAGGCAGGGAGCAGTGGCAGTAAGACCCTGCACCTCCTACGCGGTCTGATGTCTACAGGACTCTACAGAGACTGGGAGTCTGCCCTGGGTGGGAATGGGGGAAACACCTGAAAACAGGGCTTAGTGCTGCCAGCCATACATGGCCTCACCACTTCTCTGAGACACGGTGGCCTCATAACCCTGGTGACCCCAGATACTGAGCTCCCAGGAGCCCTGTAGAGTCATGGAAAACACAAATGCCAGCCACCACACCCAGGAACCTCAACTAAGAGGCACCTGGATCTGTACCTTTCCGATTCCGGACTTTTCCTCGGCACCCTTATGCCCATCACCATCTGGGTAGCCTGCCTGTTGGAGGGCCACCAGAAAGGAGAGTTTCAAAAACCAAAGTCCTTTTTCCCCCAAAATATTTTTTATTCTTGCATTACATTTGTGTTTCCAATTGTGAATAAAAAATGTTTAGAAAGTGGTTACAAAACAGTGTGAATGACAGGCGGCTCAGGCTCGCCGAGGCCCTGCCGTTCCCGGCATCCCCTTCTCCGCCTGAGACGACACGGGCCCCGCGTCAGGGTCAGTTGGCCTGCCTGGGCTCAGTCGGGCTCCTCACTCTCAGAATCTAGAAAACAAAACCACCACAGCTCATTATTGGCCCCAAGTGGTCACTGGGGGTCCTGGTGGACCACAGCTGAGTGGTCACGCTCCACCAGGAGGGCCAGTGGCCCAGCTGCACACTCTGCACAGTCCCAGACTGCTCTGTGGTCAGGGCACTGATGTCTGCACAAAATGAATCAAACTGGGCTGCCCACGCCTGCAAGGCCCAGGCACTGGGAGCAAGCTGCCTCTGCGGCCAGGCACAGTCGGAGAAGCAGCCTCCCAAGAAAGCTGCCTGTGCCCAGGGCCAGTGCTGAGGTGAGGTGCCCAAGAGTGGGTGGGACCACACTGTTCTGGGACGGGAGTCCCTCCTTCCAAGAGCAGAGGCACACGGCCTGCATCTCAGTGGGGCTGGAACAAGCTGACCAGGTAGTCACCCCTCTGGCAGGGCAGCAGGACCAGCCCAGACTACGAGGGTAAGGGGATGCCAGCAGGTCCACATTCCAAGCCCCCCAAGCCCACACCTGCTCATGGCCCTGGTCTCCCAGGGCAACAGAGCTCTCCACAGAACCTGTGAGTAACCTGGCCCCAAGGCCACTTCTCACAGCGCATGAGTCCGATACCACCCCTCTTTCTCTTCAGGTCACACAAACCCAGCTCAGGAAGGAGGTCCAATGGGTGTGTGTCCAGGGGTGGGCAATTCACCAGCATCTAAATGCAGTTCCAGTTCAGTGTGGTTGAAACCTGGCTGACTTGGGGGGGGGGTACCATGTGCAGGGCACCGGCACTGACCAACACCCCTCTCATCCCCAGAGCCGGGCTGGCTCAGTGTCCACCACTGGGCATGAAGTGACACCCGGGACAGGCAGTGCCACCCACCCAGTCACCAGTATCTGAGCTCCCTACGAGGTTGATTGGTTCAGCTTTTACAAGGACAGAGAGTAAGAAAGATTTTGTTCCACACTGTTTTCAAGCAAAAATGTTTATTTTTCTCCTCATATACAACCTCGGGAATTCTGTGCTACTGACCGTTGGGTACAAGGCAAGAAATGCACGCCTCCTGCCTGCGGTGGCTGAGGGTGGCAGGAGGGGCACAGAGCAGGGCATCTCTGACTAGTGTCAGGCCCTGGCGGAAGATTCTGCATAATCACCGAGAAAACTGAATTCTAACTGAACTGATGGAATAATGTATTTAAACCGAACTAATTTAGCCAGCCCTAACAAGGCCCCAAGTACAGCAGAGCTAGTCACTTCACAGCTGGGCAGCCCCAGCGGCTGCCTCCAGCGGGAATGCAGAAAGACCTTTGTCTGTCTCTCACAGGAGCTGTCCTGTCCTGTGCCCCTCTGGGATGCGTCTACTGAAACTCCAGGCGGGGAGCCGGGGAGCCCTCCCACTCCAACAGGTCAGTCTCCACGTAGGAAGCCCAGTCTGGGCACGCAGCAGAGCACGGCCCAGGGGCCACAGGCCTCAGTGCAAATGAGAGAGGGAGAACGGCCAGCGGAGGGCTCCCTAGGTTGGTGGCAGTTAGACCAACCCACACCTTCACTTCATGTGCTCTCACAAAGACTTTGGGCTATGAGGGCTTCTGCTCACCTGACACTTTCCAGAAGGCTTCACATAGTCTAACACAGTCGCTCCGTTCCTCACCAAAAGCACTACCGCGAGCAGTCGGCCCCACGAGCACACCTGGCCGCTGGCCGGAGCACTGCAGCCTTCCGCTAAAGGCGTGTGTCAACTGTCTCCTATCAGCAAGCACTCTGGCCCCCGTCAGCAGCCCAGAGCGGCCACGCGCAGCTTGGGGGAGCCCCGAAAGCCTATATTACTGGCCTGAAAGTAGTACTCCCCCATTTACAACTCTCCGGTATTCAAGCTGACTAGTTCAATCTGTTTAAAAGGCCGTTACCACAGAAAGCTGAAGATCAGGCTTTAGCTTCAGGTCTGTAAACCATTCAAACCTCTGCAACACAGTGGTGAATCAAGGTATCCACGCAAGCCAATTTAAGCGAAACCCACCTCTTTTGATATGCTTTTAACCCCTCTTTTCCTCAGGAAATGGAAAAGCTGGAGTTCAAGGCACTGTACTTCTGCGAGTGGTTACAGTGTTCTACCATTGGATCAAGTACAGGAAGTGGGTGCAAAGGTGTCAGCGTACAGACAGTGGAGCCAACACAGGGAACAAAGGGGGTCTGCAGCACAGAGGAAGCAGCGCTGCCCCGGGGACAGGAGGGCAGCACGAGGGGGCGGAGCCATACCAGCCCCACCAGGCCGCCTGGCGCGGTCCAGCTGGCGAGTGGTGGCAGAGCTACATGATCCGCAGCCTGGCGCCAGGCGAGCTGACTGCGGGAGGCAGCAGGAGCACAGGCACGCCCACTGCGCCCAAGCCTGGCCCCTGCGCAGGGCACCAGCCACCTGCCTGGGCTGCCCAGGGCCCCCAGGACACTGCGGCAGGTAGCAGGTTTCCAGGCTGGCCCAGAGGCAGTGCACAGGGTGGGGCTGGGGGGCTGGAGAGGGCAGTACCTGGCACGGGCACGGGCACAGGCATGGGCACGGGCAGGGCCGGGGTGGCTCCAAGAATGACCGAGGTGGGTGGAAGGCCGGGCGCCAGGGCCAGACATGGCATCCCCACTGCTGCTCGAGGTGCATTCACCTATAAAACAAGAAGGGGGGAATACGCATGGCTGGGAGCAGCTGGCTTCCCCACAAGAGAAGCTGGTGTTCCTACAGTTTCTCTTTCCTCAGGAAAGAGCATCCCAGGACCACCCAGACATGGTGTCTTCTAAAAATTGACTCCAGGTCAGGAAAAAAAGCCACCCCTCCATGTTCCCCAGAGCTGCAGCCTAGTCACTCTGGGCTACATGCCCCACTGGCCAGGGGCAGAGCAGGCTTCAGAGCAGACCCTGTTTGAAGTGACCTCCACAGCCTAATAAGCAAATGCACACCCACCAAAGGCCCTCTGCTGGCTGGTCAGGGCTGCCTTTGAGGCCCAGGGCAGCAGGAGCATGCTGCCCTGAACATCTAGAGCCCAGGAAAGAGCCTGCTCAGCATAGAAGTAGCCCAAGGACAGGGATGACTGGGATGGTGGCAAGCCCATGCCACCAAAATATAGAAACTGATGGAATGGCAGTGGGAAGAGCAAAAGCAGATTAACAGCCTTCAAACCACTGAACAAAATGACAGCAGAGCTAAGCTGGCATCTGTCAAAAGACAAAGCATCACAAACAGGCTGTCAATTTAGGAGCATAAGGCCACTGACCCCTTGGGAACTGTTGTGTCTCCATAGACACGGGGAACCTTGGAGGAATTCCACACTCTGCCCAAAAAGCATGCACAGCAGTCAGGAGGCCCTTCCCACACTGGTGTGGGGCCTCTGCAGAGCCCCTAGCCAGATCTGTGCCCATGTGGAATGCCAGGTGCACTATTCCCTAGCTCCTCCCTATTCTAGCCTACACCGCATGGGAAGTGTCAGTAACATATAAAAGGAACAGAAATGGAAAACTGTCCTTATTTGCAGATGACAAGATTGTGTTTGGAGAAAACCCAAAGAGCACACTAATTTCTAGAAAAAGCAAGCAAAATGACTAAGATTGCAAGAAACAAGGTACAAAATCAATCATATTTCTCTATATTAGCAACATACAAGTAGAAAATGAATGTGAAAACAATGTGATTTACAAGCACATCTAAAACAACTACTCAGGGATAAATTTAATAGAAGATGTGCAACACCTTTATCCTAAAATCCAAAAAATTTTACTGAGAGAAAATAGACACAGAGAGATGTCATATTGGAGCACAAATACTGTATTAATGTCATTTCTCACTCTGTTGATCAGCAGACTCATATAACTCCAGTCAAAGTCCCAGAAGACTATTGTGTAGATATTGACAGACTGTTTCTAATATGCAGATAGAAATATCAAGGACTAGAAAAATCAGTAAGTTTGTTGAAGAAGCTCAACATTGGAGGTCTTACACTGCCAGATAATAAACTCACTATATAAAACTACAGAAACTAAGAGGATGTAGTGCTGTCATAAGGATTAAAAAAAAAATGGCTTTGTAGAACAAAACAGAAAGTTCAGAATGGATCTGCACGTATAGGCCTCTTGACAAAGGTTTGTGCAATACTACGTGAAAGGAAGGTGCTGGAATAATCAACTATACAAGCAGGAAAAAGTCAACTTGACTACTGCAGAAACTATGAAGTGTCCAGAAAAGACACAGACAATCTTCATGGTTTTGGAAGAAGTTTCCGTAATTAGAAAAAAATATTTTTCATAAAGTAACTGATAAACTGTATCTTAACAAAATTAAAAATATCATTCCATATTCATCATTAAGAAAACAAAAGACAAGCACAGGCTGCTGGAACATGCCCATCATACATTTATATGGCAAAGGTATATAAGAAGCTTGCATAAATCAATTATGAAGAAATAATCAATTTTTAAAAGATAAAGACCCTTCAGTAGACACCTTATTTAAGATGACTGAGAAGAATATGAAAAGAAGGTTCAAAAGCAAATTAAAATAATGAGAAACCTACTTTTAAGTCTCAAATTCTTTATACAAATAAATTTTCAACTGCAATATCCCACATGCAATAAAAAAGTCACAAGACAAACAAAAATTTAAAACTAAGTGAAACAAAATAGGAACTGTAAAATACTGAAAGTGATGCAAGCTTGAGAATTTTAGAAGAAAGCTGGAAACTAACAAAGCAAAACAAACACCAGATACGGGGTAAAGAAAGACTTCTACTTAAAAATAAAATAACCAAAGTTAAAAACTCAATAGGTAGGTGCAGATTAGATACAAAGAAAAAGTTGGTAAACTAAAAGATCTAAAGTAAATATTCAGAATAAAAGTATCAAAGGACATATGAGACAAAGGATAAAGTGAAAGATCACACATGTGGTCCAGAGTCTCAGATGAGGAAAAGGAAGGAGAGGGAAACAGAGGAAGAGAAAAAGCATGAAGGAGCATGGTGCAGGGGACAGGATGGGACAGGAGCTCTACAGGACAAGATACTGGCAGAAAAGTAACCAAGTTTGATGAAGATATCAAATCTAGTTTCAAGAAGTCCTATGACATCTAAAAAGTATAAAAGTGCATATACTTAGGCTACACCTCAAAAAGCCTCTAAAAATTATTACAGGCTATAAATTATTAATTATTAGAAGCTGTTAGTAGTCAGAAGAAAAAGAATTTATTATCTCCATAGGAAAAAAAGACTGATAGCTCACTTCCAACAAAAAACAAGGGAAGCCAAATAATGGTAAAATGAAACATCAAAATGTTTAAAGAAATTAACTGCCAAACTAGGCTTCTATCTATATCCATTGAAAACAGTCTCAAAGAATAATGATGAGGGCCTCCCTGGTGGCGCAGTGGGCTAAAGCACCACACTAAGAAGCTTAAGCCACTTCCGCAAGAGTTCCATTCCCGCCTAACCCCAGAGGTGACCACATGGCGCGGCAGACCTCTCCGGACCCACCCGCTGCTCCCCTCAGCAGTGTACTTCGTTGATCTGCCTGTTCAGCTCCCTACTCTGTCTCTGGTGAATCCTCTCACCCTCTGCATCTCTGGCCTGTATCCCAGTTCTGTATGAATAAATAAACAAATTAAAAAAAAATAATGATGAAACAGACATTTTAGACAAACAGGCATACACATAAAAGAAATTCTGAAGGAAATGAGCCAAGAGCAAAGATCAGAGGCAACAAGTGGTGAAACATCAACACAAAAGGTAAATATGCTGAAGAGAGCCATTTAGGTTGAAATGAAAGATAGTAAACAATATCTCAAAGCTATAGAAATAAAGGAGGTAACTATATTGGAATTTCAAGTGATTATGGATAAGGAAGGATTTCTGCCATAATGATTTTTTGGGTGCATATATACATACATACATATATATAAAATAATATAATAGTTTATTTTTACATCATTTTATGTCTTTTTCCATGTCAGTTGTAATCCCCATGGGCTTCCCATCATTTGGTATATCTTTTAAGTTTTTATTCCTTAATTTCTCCGGTATCACTTTAAAAGATTTAGTTGTATTCTGTAGTATGTAACTTGGATTTCAATCTTCTTTCCTTTTCTGGATATATTTTAGTTTTTTTCTTGTTGATTATCTTGGGGCTTACAGTTAATTTCCTAAATGTTTAATAACCTATTTTGAATAAAACAAACTCTGTCTCAATAATATACAAACACTGCTACTGTACTTCTTCATCTTACCCCTTTGTATCATTTTTGTCACTGGTATGCCTATTAACATAGATTTATAATTATTGTACAATGTATTTGCTTTGTAAACCAAATAATGGGAAAAAGGAAATAAAAGCAAAATTACAGTAATATTGGATTATACATAAGCCAAGGTGAAAAATGTTACAAGAAACAGGAAAGATATTCCATAGAGGTAAAAGCATTGATCCATCAGGAACTATAATAATTATAAATATACGCATCAAGCAAAGCCCCAAATTATATGATACAAATAGAATCATGGAACCAAACAATTGTGCACTAATCGTCGTACATTTCAGTAGTTCACTCTCAATAATGGATATAACTAGAAGACCCTTAAGGAAAGAGTGGACTTGAATACCACTATAAGTGGTATACAGAAAAATCAATGAAATCAAACGGTGGTCCTTTGGCAAGATTAACAAACTGACAGTTCAAACTAGTTGTTCAAACTGGATAACTCAGATAAAATAAACACATTTCTAGAAACATACAAATACTTTAACTAACTCAAGAAAAAACAGAAAATATGAATAGACCTATCATCAGTAGTGAGATGGAACTGGTAATCAAACACCTCCCAAAGAAGAAAATCCCAGAATCAAATGACTTCATTGGTGAATTCTACCGAATATTTAAAGAATTAACAACAATCTTTTTCAAACTCTTCCCAAAAGAGAAGGGAAAGCTTCCTCATTCTATGAGGCTATCACTATCCTGATACCAATCCAGAAAACATATCACAAGAAAAGAATATTACAGATTAATACCTCTGAACAAAGATGCAAAAATCCAAAATAATATATTAGCAAACCAAATTTAGTAGCATATTATAAGGGGTATATACCACAACCAGGTGGGATTTATTTAGGAAAAGCAAGAGTAGCTAGACATATGAAAATTAGCCAATATAACACACCATTAATAGGATGAAGGACGAAGAATATATGCTTATCTTAATGCAGAAACAGCATCTGGCAAAATCCAAAACTCTTTAACATCAAAAGTGCTCAACAAACTAGAAATAGAATGGAACTTCTTCAATGTGATAAAGGCAATATAAAAGAAACCTGTAATTATCATCATACCCAGCAGGTGGATATGATTGAAAGAATTTCCTCTGAGATTAGGAACAAAATAAGGTGTCTGCTTGTGTCACATCTACTCAATATAATATATAATATATATACTATAATATTGGAAGTTCTAGTTAGAGAAATCTGGCAAGAAAAAGAAAAGGCATCCAAATTAGAAAGACAGAAGTGGAAGTATCTTTGTTCAGAGATGACATGATCTTACATGTAATTGTAACCCTAAAGAATACACACACACACACACACACACACACACATAAATGCCAGGATTAATTTATCAGCACAGTTACAGAGTACAAAATCAATATGCCAAAATCAGCTCTATTTCTATAAAGCAGCAATACACACTCTAAAAGGAAATTAAAACAATTACCCTGAAAATTTTAAAAATAAAATAGGAATAAAGTTAACTAAGAAGTTGACACATGATGAAAATTATAAAACACTGTCAAAAGAAACTAAAGACATAGATAAAGGGAAGACATAGATTGGGAGATTCAGTGTTGTTACTATGCCAGTAATACCCAATGTGATCTACAGATTAAATGTAATCACTGTCAATGTCATTCTAAAATTCACATGAAATCTTAGAGGACCTCAATAATCACAACAATCTTGAGAAAGAACAAAATCAGAGACTCACACTTCATGAGTTCAAAGCTTACTACAAAGCTAGAGAAATCAGTGATATTAGCAAGAAGTCAGACATAGAGATCAATATAGAATCGAGAACTCAGGAATAAACCCTTTCATCTGTGTGGTCAGTCAGTACTCAACAAGTGCAACAAGAACATTCAATATGGAAGGCCTAGATTAAGTGGGGAAAATGCCTACATAAGAGCTAAAATTATTAAACTCTCAGGAGGAAACATAATGAAAGAGCCTAATGACATTGGATTCTGCAATGATTTCTTGGATATGACACCAAAGACACAGGCAACCACCAAAAGAAAAAAAAGGATGAATTGGACTTTAAGAAAATTAAAAAAGTTAAGTGTGTCAAAAGGTACTATCAACAGAGTAAAAAGTCAAAACCACAGAATGGTAAGAAATACTTGCCCATCATGTATCTGACAAGGGATTCATATCTAGAACACAGAGGAATACAGTTCTCAAACTCATTAACAACAAAATACCTCAATGAAAAACGGGCCAAAGACTTGAATTGTTATGCCAAAGAAGATACACAGTGTCCAATGAGCACATTAAAAGATGCTTAACATCACTGTTTATCAGAGAAATGACACCAGCCTGGGGCTGCTCTGTGGTAGAGTGGGGTTGCAACCCTGCTCCCACCCCTCCCTTAATTTTGCCAGCTGAGGGTCCCTGAGCAGGTCTGTGTCCCACACCCCACTTACAGCCCGAGCCTCTCCAGGGGCCGGGGGCTGGCCTGCTGGGGCTTCCATGCTGTGCAGCTTCTGCGTCTGTTTCAGCTGGTTGAGTGAGGGCTTCATCTGCGTGGCCCCCGCCGTCCTGCTTGTCCATTCATCCACCAGCTTGTGCAGGTCATCCGTGAAGGTACCTTTCTTGTTGTTGCTATTGTTCACCTGGGCCTGAACATGCAGGGCAGGCTGAGGGCCCGGCTCGGGGCCTGGGACCAGGCTGCTGGTGGAGGACCCTAGGGAGGCACACACAGGCCAGGGTTGGTGACACTGCCGGCCAGCACCATGGCCAGCTCCTCGGTCTCACAATGGTCTCACCTAGACAGACAACACCTTGCTTCAGGAGATGGTCTGCATTTGGGGCCCATGGTGGAGCATTTCCACAGGCCATGGGGGGCTGGGTTGTGCCAGATGGCCATGACCCATCTCACCTGCCCAGCCAGGGGACAGACCCTACCTACAACTATCTCAGCACCCTACTCTGTGCCCATGCTGCCCAGGACTGCCAGCTCCCCCATGTGGTAGAGCTTAGAAGCCCTGGGACAGTGGGACACAGACGGGGGCAGGATCCAGGCCTCCGCACTCCCAGCTGTAACATGAGGACTCAGAGTGTTGTCCCTTTTGGCAGAGTGGCCAGCACAAAGTAAGGTCCTTTCATTGCCTGACTGTTGGAATTCCCATGAATTTTAATGGCTGTGTGGTTTGGAAGCTGGGACACAGAGATCACACCTCCTCCTCACCAGAGCATATGGGCAGGTGCTCCTAGAAGGGGCAGCACCCACAGCCTTCTGCCTGGCAGGTCTGGGCCTATTGTGAGACATAGGTGGGCTGGGCAAGGAGAGTGCACTCGGCCACATCGGTGATTTTATTTTTAAAGATCATAACGGGACTCTTTCACTTTCTTAAAATTTGTTCTTCATTCTACCAAAGAAACCTAATCTCTGGTGGACAATTTTGAAAAACCCAATTAAAACATTTTCTGCATTAAAAAAAATAACCTAATGACCATCTCTTCAAACAAGCCGTTGCAAAATGTAGTCTACTTTAGTGGCTAGCGATGAAAAAGCACAGACACAATTAAACATTAGTGATGAGATTTTTACATACATGGAGCTATTTCTACATGAACTTTCAGCCAGAAAAGAAAAAAAAGTTGGGCGCAAGATGAGAGTGTGGGCGGCCCAGGTAGACTGATACCCATTTCATCTGGCATCTCTCCTCTGGGGGCCTCATCTCTAGCACTTCAAGGAAATACTCATTCCTACGGTTTTGGAAAAGGAGCCAATTAATAATGGTAATGTGTGTTCGTTCCGGAGAAGGAAAAGCCTGCTAGATGGGAAGGCAAAAAGGCACAAACCTAGGAGCCAGGGAACCCAAGGGTGCCCAAGGCAACTCTCCCACCAAGCCAGGCAAGGTGGGCCACAGAGGGTGGGCCTGGAGCAGGCCCTCGCTTGCCCACCAGCCCCCAGCTCTGGCCGGCCCCGGAAACCCTGAAGCGCACTAGCACGATAAAGCCCATGCGATGGAGAGCGACAAGGCGTAAAAAACCCGATAATTACGACTGCTGTGGTCTTTGCCTAGACAGAGACGCTTCAAGGCAGACCCTGCAAGGGAAAAAGAAACGACACAAGACCACAGGGTTAGGCAGGACAGCACACACGGGGACAAGCCACCACACTCTAAGCATAGGTCATCAGTGTGCAAGGAGGACAAGGCCTGCGGTTCAGAGAGAAGGGGCAGCCCCCCGGCTAACAGGGTGCCCGAGTCAGTGTGCAGGTTCACAAGAGCCTCGCCGGGGCGGAGGTGCAGGGCCAAGCCTCCAAGCTCCAGGTAGAAGTGTGTGTGTGTGTCTAGAAGCATTGGAAAAAAAAAAAAAAGAAAAAGAAAACAAAAGTAAAAAAAGCAAAGCACACCACCTGGCTTTCAAACCAAGGCTTCAGGAGCTCCACTGGTTGAGGCAGGGAAGCCCGCTGACACCGGCCACCAGGGCTCCCATGGAGCCAGCACGGTACTGCCCACTGCCAGGCCCATGGAGATTTTCCAAGTGCAAAAAGATACATTGTTTTGCAGGTTTGAGGCCAATCCCAGATCCCTGATCAGGCCAGCAGTGGGCATCCAGTGAGGAAATCCAAGGCGTACTATCTAAGGGGGGAGAGGCTGGGCCCACCCCTGACTCTCTACAAAGCCTCTGTCTCTTTTTGATGTTCTGTGACCAGAGAGGCAGAGCCAGGCCTGTGTTGGGAACCTTCTGGCCTCCTGTTTTCAGACCACCATCAGAGGCTCTTGACTTTGCTCTTCCTGAAGGCTGTCAGTGCTGAGACAGACAGGCAATACACTGAATTTAGCGTTTGACATGACCTGACGGGTCAGTGCTCACCTGCAAGGCAGATGAGCTGGCCAAGAGGGGCTGCCACATCCGGTTTACTCTGCAGCCTTCCAGGAAGCTGGGCAGGCAGAGGAGGGTCAGGCAGGGACAGCTCAGATGTCCCCAAGGTCACTCAGCAAGGTCACACCAGCAGGGAGGGTTGTCTGCACTCCCACCCATCAGCCCCTTGCACGGCACCCTGCACCACCATGCTCCCCGCGGTGCCAGCACTCTCAGTGTGGGGGACGCCAACATTCCAGGGGCTCTGAGAGCCCGGCCATGCTGCTCTACCCTGTCTGAAATGGCTCTGCCCAGGGGTTGGGAGCAAACATCAGTCCAGACTTCTGAGGAAAAGTGTTGGTGCCCTAGTCTCATAAATCGAGCTCAAACTGAACTGTGAGTGTTGAGTGTTCTAGCTCCTCCTGTGCATTTCCGAGGCTGACTGGTGAAAGGCGCGATGTTCTGTCAGTCCTCTAACATGCAAACAACAGAAGGCCAGGCAGAGTGGTCTGAGCAGATGGACTCTCCGTGGGAGTTCAGGGCCTTGGCTGTCTGTGTTCCTAGGTGGAACACTCCAGGGGCACAGCTCTCTGGTACACAGGAAGGAGGGTTCCCTGAGTGCTGGGCCTGTGCCGATTTTCCCACAGGCCTCGTGTGGTTGCAGTGTCCTCTGTAAGACAGCAGTCCCCTGTGGATAACCCACGGGTGAGGGACTAAATGTCCTGCCAGGGCCCTGCAGCCTAGCGGCAGCAGGTTCTTTAAAAAGTCATTCTGCACAGCCTGGCAGCTGTTGCTGTGGCTGGGCTCTGCGTGTGGGATTGATTCCTGGCAGACATCCAGGGAAGAGGACACGCTGACCACAGGGGCCTCCTGTTCAGAGCCACCAGGGGGAGCTGAAGGGAACCCAAGGCCAAGGGCCCTGGAAGACACCACGCCCTTGCTACACACGGCCAGGTGACAGAAGCAGATGGCTCCTAGCCTGGAGGGCAAAACTTTAAACAAAACCTCACAGGTGCCATCATCTCTCCTCACAGAGGTCACCACTCAGAACCAGAGTCACCACGCATTCGGCAGCCAGGACATACCAGAGCCCAGACCACCCTCAGGCTGCCCCGCTAGCCTCCTCTAAAGCAATGCCCTAACTTGGGACGTGCCTCAACATTTGTAACACAGATGGCAGCCGATGGACAGGCCTCCCAAACTCAGCTCATGCACTCTGTCCTGGAACATACCCCCAGCCTCCTGCCCACACAGCTCCCGGGACACGAGGCAGCGCTGCAAGGGCACGGGGGACTCGGTCATGAGGGGCCTGCAGAGCCCACAGGAGACCCCACAGAGCCCACAAGATGCCACCCAGGACCACTGGTGGCATGACAGCTTACCCCTCCCCACCCCTAGATTCTTGTGTAGAGGGCAAGAAAAAAAGTTTTCACATAACAGGACCTGGGTGGGGGAACCATGCAGCCACAGCACAACTGCGTCCGGTGTCCAACACTTCTACAGAAGCTCCCCAGAGCACGCAGCTGCCCGCCCCCACTGCCAGGCCAGAGCCTGTAGAATGCTGAGGCTCTCAGTCCAGGCTTGAGAATAAACAGGGCACAGAGAGAACAAATGCCATTCAGGTGTCCACATATTGGGTTACCAATTTAAGCTGAGAAAAGTGCCTGCATTTGTAAAAGTGCCTGAATTTGTAGCATAAACTAAGAAGCAGGATGTACATCAGAGACAAGTTCCACCACTGGGGTAGCACAGGGCCTGAGGCACAGGCCCATAGCAGCCTGCACCAGGGCAGCTCTCACCAGGCCAGTCCAGCCACTGAGGTGCATGTGTAGTCAGGGGCTGTCTGATGGGAAGCATCACTGGGGGTTCCTGCCCTCTCCCACACCCACCACAGTGGGCCCCAGGGAGGAACCAAAACACTCCAGACCAAAGTTACGACTTGGATGGCTATCCTGCAGCATTCAGGGGTCCCAGAACCAAACCTGCTACAGCATGGACACCTGCCCAACAGCACAGGGAAAAACCACGCTGACCCCAGGGACACAGTCCTGGAATGGCTTAGCTCCTGTCTTGGCCTTGATGAGCAGCTGCAAGAGGGATCAACAAGCCTACATCAGCTTTTGATCAGCAAGACACCAGGACTTGGGACTTCTATAGCTGACCTGCACTCCTTTGACCCACAGCCAGGGATTCCGAGCTCCCTTGAACACGGAGGACCACAGAAGAATCCTGTAGTATGGATGGCTCCTACAGGCTCCGCGCCTGCGTTCTTACCCCCGTTAAAGGGTACAGTTCAGGCCCTCCCTGGTGGCGCAGCGGGTTAAAGCACAGCACTGAGAATCTGAAGCCACTTCTGCATGAGTTCGATTCCCGCCTGCCGCCTGCCCCGGAGGAGACCACATGGCGAGCCAGACCTCTCCTGACCCGCCCCGCCCGCTGCTTCCCTCAGCAGTGTACTTCGTAGATCTGCCTGTTCTGCTCCCCACTCTGTCTCTGGTGAAGCCTCTCACCGCCCCTGAGCCTCTGGCCTGTACCCCAGTTCTGTATGCACAAATAAATAAATAAATCTTAAAAAAAAAAGGGTACAGTGCTCCCTGAGGGCCTGCCCACCCCCTGCTTCAATAGCCCCCCCCCGCCCCCCGAGAATGTCCCCTCCCCATGCTTTCCATCCAGGAGCTGGTGGCATCCATCCACATAGGCTCACCTCCTGACTACCCCTCACCACTTGCCCCCTGGAAACTCCCAGTCACCCGTTGCTCTAGCACAGAGAGCCCAGCCATCTCCAACCAGCTTCCTATCCCTGCCTGAGCCTCTCATCTTCTTTTAGCTTCTTTTTCTTTCTGTGTTTCAAAAAGGTAACATGGGTTTTGCTTTCCCAGAGTCTTGTCTCCTGCTCAGTTCAAGGCAGCAGACTGAAAACTCTCTCTAGGTTTGGTATCTACCTCAGTCTGGGCCAGCTGGGCTTGAGTGCCCAAGCTCAGATCCCTTTGCACCTGCAGTTGAGCCAATGGGGGCCTCACTGAGTGACCTGGATCCCCCTGGGCAATCACACTTCAGGGTCCTCCCCACACCTGTGTGTTCAGCCACCCCTGCCTCGTACCTTCCCTCCTACTACCCCTCAGCCCTCAGGAGGGCATACCAGCTTTCACTTCCCTCCAGTCATTCATGAGTCCGTGCTCAGCCTCCTCTCAGACCTTAAAGCAACTTGGTCACTCAGGAACCAGATGACAGAGGCTCCAGGATGGGCCTTGGAGAGGCCGGGACACAGACTCTAGTCCTGTCCCACTAGAGCAGCACTAGAACTCAGTCATAGTGTCTAGGCAGGAACATGACCAAGCAGTGACATGTGGGAGTCACACTGTAGCCAGAAAAGATGAAGGTCTCAACCAGGACTCACTAAGAGGTGCTGGGCGATAGATCAGGCAATACATGGATTCACAGTATCAGAGGAAACCAGGCCACCGGCAGGGCCACCGCTTAAAGTCCTCACACCCAGCCAGCTTACCCACCTGCCACCCACTGGAGTCCACCCAGGCAGCCATATCACCCTGCCTGCCACCAGCTGTACCTCACGCGTTCCTTTCTCCCAGCCACAGGGACAGGGTAAATCTAATCCTCAGTCCTGCTGGGGCTCAATTTTTTTTTTTAATCTTAGAACAATGATCAATAGTGAAACAAAGAAAAAAACCCTAAAAAAAAAAAGGCAGAACCACACGGGTAGAAAGTAGTGTGGCAATGGCCTCGGGTCACTCACAATAGGAGCCCTGAGGGAATTCCATCTACACAAGCTGCTAGACCCACACCTGGCCAGTGAGTCTCCTGGCAACAGTGCAGGCCCCCATCTGACCTCAAGGCACTGGAGACCCAGACTACCAGCTTCCTTGGCTCACATGGGCAACCCAGGTACTGGTACTAGCCAGCAGCATGCTTAAGTTGCCCCTCCCCCTACCCAGCTCAGGAACTCGCCAGCAGCCCTGGTGACTCTTGTGATCAAACAGGCACCCTGCAAGGACAAGAGGCCACCAGGCAGCCCTCCCTGGCACTTCTGTGTGGTCCTGGGGCCTCCGGTCTGTCCCTCCCAGGGACCATCAAAGGTAATGGCTACTGAGCTCTGAAAGACACTACTGTGGACGTGGCCTCTGGTTCCCAACAAGAACAATGTATCTTTATTGTACGAGCAAAAAAGCCACGTGCCCCAAACCAGCATGTCCAATCCAATTGGTAAAAAGCTTAATTTTTCTGTCGAAAAAAAAAAAAAAAAACAAAAAACCCTGAAACCGCTACAGTTTTGGATTTACTTGCCAATCACTCTGAGGGATAAAAAGGATTTTGGACAGCCCTGAGCAGGTGTGCCTTTCCTGGACGTGAGTGTCTGGGTTCGAGGAGGGAGTGCCAGGGTGTCTGAGGGTGGCTGGAGCTGCGCCTTGGTTGAGCAGAGCTTTAAGGGACTGCATGGTCAACTTCATCTCAGGGGGCCATGAGATGAGAGGGAAATACACCGAGGAAAGTGCTCCAGCTAGACAGAGGCTGGCCAGGGACAGGGCACGTCGGGGGCTGGAGACCCCAAGGGGGGCAGACCTAGCCTCCTGGGGGGGTCCGGGGTCGGGTGTCCTAGCTGGAGCAGTTCTCTCAGCATTTCCACATGCAGGGAGTGGGGCGTGGGCGTGACAGTACTGTCGTGATACGACCCTTGTATGGAAGTGACACCCTCCAGGGAACTTCTACCACTGTATCGGCTCGCTACATGCATGTCTTCAGAGTCCAGACACGTGTGAAACACACCATGCGTCTAGAGAAGGCCGGGGTTGTCTTTTGTAGTCGCTGGAACTTGGGACAGTGGACTTGTGTATTTGCCACACTAGCAACAGAAATAAAACTACGTCCAACATTAAAAAAAAAAAATTAAACGCGTGACGAAAGGAATGCAGAGCGCCTGGGTGGTGTGGGGGCGGCATGCCCAAGGCCAAGAGGGCAACAGCCACACATGCTGGTGCCCGGGCACGGCCGAGAGCATGCACTGCCTCTTTCTGGGCCAGAGGGTGGGTGTGGATGGGGCTCCACTTTCGATATTAAACAGGGGGTTCAGTGGGGGTGGGGTAGCATCCTACACAATGTATGAAGGTAATGAAGACAGGGGGCGGGAAGAAACCAAGGGCCAGGAGATGATAAAATACAAAAGAACAAATACAGACAGATGGACACAGACACGGGTCCACTGAGGAATCGAGCGCGAGGTTTGCTACTAGACTTATGGGCCACTCTCTCAGACGTTGGGTGGTAAAGCGTCCAGCCTGCAAATGAATATAGAGGGAAGAGAAAGAGACAGGCATCAAGTACAGGTCTCTGGGGATCGTCCTACACACCACCAGCCACATCAGCCTCGTCACTTAGCAGCCACGGCTCCATCTAGCCCAGCCCAGAGGACCAAAGCCACCGACCACAGGATGGAGAGGAGGCAACATAGGAATGGAATAGAGGCGGACCCCAGGAGAGTGTGGGGGCAGGGTGGGAGGCCTTCAGCAGTCACCACAGCTTCTCTGCAGAGATGGGGTAGAGCACCTCACCGCGCGGCCACCGTGTCCACGGCAGTGGTGATGAGCACTTCCTCCTCAAGGCCAGACTCCCTGCTGGAGAGCCGAGCCCTCCTCCCGGCCGGCCCTCCTGAAGGAAGGACCTGTGTGGCTCGGGGTGGGGTTGGGGGACGGGGGACGGCCAGTGCCTGGGAACCAGTGCAGAGCTCACGCACGTGCCACAGCTGGCCGACCTCCCGATACCCTGGCTCCTTCCCCAGGCCGGCTCTAGCAAACACTGCCTCCCTCTGAGCCGCTTACAGCAAGACTGGGTGATGTGGGGTACTCCGCTCTCTGCACTCAGGGCTACGTCTATGGCTTGTTCTTTAAAAAGCTGCTTGGCAGCCTTTGGCCGCAGCTGCGTCCCCGCTACATCACATGGGCCCGACACGCTAGACCATGCCGGGAGACGGCACGCTGGAATCACCTTGGCCGTGCGCTCCGCCTCCATCACTGGCTAAGCCGGAGCAGATGTCCGAAGACAGGGAAGCCCGGACGGAGCAAGGCTGCCGGGTCTGAACTGCCTTCCCACATGGGTCTGAAGCCGGGACGGCCGCCGGGACGGCCGCCGCGGGCCCCACACTGGCTTTGGCAAGGTCCTTAGCAGGAGGGCCTCGGCTGCAGTCTGACAAGTGACCTGGGTGGGAGAAGGGGGACAGGCAGGATGAGGCGCGCAGGCAGACCAGCAGCGCAGCGCGGTGTCCTCACTGCTCTTTGCTGGGTGACCTTGAGGAAGCTGAGGCCCTGCCGGTCAAGGCGCTCCCTGTGGTCTCTGCAGGGCATGTGGAAAGATTAAAGGAAGCAACTGCAGGCTCTACCCAGCGCCAAGGCCGTGCAGGCATGTGCAAACTCAGTGAAAGGGCACAGCACATCTGGAGATGCACACCTGAGCTCAGGGTGGGCCAGCAGGCTTCCGCAAGGTAGTGAGTATGCTGTCGATTCTAGAAATCAGCATGGAATTCTTGTAGTTCAAGGAGTGCCCTGCAGGTTATCCGCAATGCCAAGGAGGGCTGACAGCCAGTTTTCTGCCTGGAAGCTTGGGGATTTCAGCTCCCTGGTCTCCACCCCAGAGTTCAGGGGCTCAGAGTCAGGAGTACCCTTAAATGCCACTTGTCCATGGTGGGCAGAGTGGGGCAGCTCTGAGAGGCCTGACAAGGTCCACCCCATGAAAGGGGGTGGACGGGAGCTGCCTGAGCCAGGCCAACAAGTCTCTTGACCAGGCATTGTGGTTAACAGGGCGGGAGTTCTTTCCACCTCCCTCTCCCCCAACAGGCACCGGCCTGTCCCCATTTAGCAGGTGCCATGTGCTTGGGAAAAGGGGCCGGAGGAAGCAACCCTGTCCCTGCAGGGAAGAGCAGACGAGGGTCTTCCTTCATAGCACACTGCAGCCTGGGGCAGTGGAGGCCCTCGCCTTCCATGAGGAAGGAATCTCCGTGAAGCTGGAGGCTGGCCTCCCCTCTTTATCCGGAGGGCACAGATCCTGGCCCTGAGGCCTGCCAGGGACTTCCTCCCTTCAGAGTAAGGGATTAGAGAAGTGCTCTCCCAGGTCTGGTGCACTCTGGCACTGGGCCGTCCCCACTCCATCCCGGCCCACCCCTAGGCCAGCCAGCAGGGCGCTCCAACCTGTACTGGAAGCCACAGCCTTGAGCTGCTGCACCAGTGGGTTCAGCAGCTTCCCCGCCTTGAGTTTGTTCCGGCTGGTCCTTCTGCGACGGCCAGCGGGGGGTGCCGTGTGGAATAGGCCCAAGTTGGGGGGCAGCGGCTTGCCCAGGCGGCGGTACAAAGCCTCAATCTCTTGCTTCTGTTGGCTCTGCAGTTCTGAGATCTCCTTCAGGTGCCTGCAGAGAGAACAGTGGTGGGGCGTGGGCTTCCAAGCACCCCTAGGCAGGGGGTGAGGAGGAGGGTGCCCACTGACAGCCTGGGCACATGAGTTGCTCTACACAAGGACCCAGGCATTTAAATGCCACTTTGTTTTCATCTAAGCCAAGTGGGCATCACTGGGAACTGGGGTGGCAGCATGCCCGTGATACGCAGCACTCGAAAGAGAGTAACATTTCAGATAACCAGACTCTTAAACACCATTGTTTTCAATTTGGGGAGTGTGGGTGTGGATGACTTCATTTACCTTGATGTAAGCAATACACATCCAGTTGAAGAGAAACATCGTGGGGGCTCAGCCCTGGGTGGACATTACCCCGGAGCACCCCGGGCAAGTCGGGCTATTTCTTATTTTCAAGAGAAGAGTGGAGAGCATCACTTTGGGGGAAGCCATACTCTTTTGATTCTCCGCTGGCCTGGAGCGCCAGTCCTCTCTGCTGGGGAACCCCCAGCTCCAGCTGAGCCCCACAAGCACCAGCGCCCCCAGGCACTGAGCAGAAGTCGATAGGCCCTTGGATGGGAAGCTGCAGGTAAGTTGTGGGGAGAGGGCAGGCTGCCAGCCTGCTGGTGGGCCAGAACCATTTCTTGTGCACCCCAGAGGGCCAGGGGCTTCCTGTTGGCTCCCTCTGTGCCTTGCTGGCCAAGCCCAGGCCACCTTCCTTGCACACCTCCTGTGACTGGTGTGGAGCCTAATGCCAGCCCCTCCCTGTCTCTGATGGGCAGCCCGGTGGCCCCAAATCCTCCTCCAAGTAGGCCTATAGAAACAGGTGTTTTTCAAGGTTGAAAATGAGGAAGCAAATCCGATTTTACCTCTTGTAACCTCAATACTTGCCAGGTTTGTTGTAGAATATGACTCTTTTTAGGTATTTAAAAAAAGAAACCCGTGTGGCCTTGGCCATGAACACTGAACAAACAGCAAATTGTTGCTGCATTAGAAAAGCTTTTCACATGGTGTGATGTTCCCAGGCAGAAGTGGGGGCTGCTGGGCCACAGGGAGCATGTGATTCAGGAGGACTTAGGGGATAACCCCTGAGTTTCCTGCCCAAAGCCCACCCTTCCTGCCACCCTGCCAGAGGATCCTGGTAGCTCCAAAATTTGCAAATGCTGGTGAGGTCTAGCGCCTGCATCCCCACAGGGTGCTTGGGGAGAGGGTTACCTGGGCCAGCTTTGCTGGCTGCCTCCTATCAGGCAGCACCAATTCCCTTAGGTCCAAGATTTTCCCTACCCTCTTCCAAATAGTTAACCCCTTTCCACGGGCTCTACTGCCCTGCCACTGGGCAAGAGACCTTACCTTCATTTTCCCCTTTCTTAGGCTCCCCAAATCCTTTCCTTTGAGGTGCTTCTCACTCCAGGCCCTGCCCCTGCATCTCCTGGTCCCAGCCCCACTTCCAAGCCCCACCAGATATCCCCAGGCTATCGTCCCCCCTTAGAATCCACGGCAGCTTCTCCCACATCCAGATCTTCCTCCCTATCGACTAGCTCCCCTCACAATGGTGGTGGGCAACTGGCCCCCTTGTTCCCACTGACCATTGACTCCCAGGGGGACCACCTGTGAGAGGTGGATGTATGGAGATGTATACACTGAAGATGTATGGAGTCCTCACTCTGCTCTGTCCATCTGAGGCCACAGGCCACCCTGCCACCCAGTTGCCTGGCACTAGGAGATGGGGGTGAGAGTCCGAAAGTCCTCAGAGCTGGTCTTGACAGTGGCCAGGGTAGGGTAGAGAGCAAATACCCACAAAGAGCAAGGGAGGGTGAGAGGTGGGCTCAGAGAGCAGGGCGGGTAGGACACGGGCACCAGCTCTGGAGCCTGAGCCTGCATTTTTCAGCCCACCAAGGGTGCTCAGTCGTCATCACTCCTCCATAGCCATCACCACTCCATCTCCACACCACAGTGACTCCACTTGAGCCCTCCTATTCCACCAGAGCTTCCGGGTGCAGCAGCATGGTGGAGCTCCCCAGCCACACTTACTGGGGGTAGAAACAAGTCTGCGACGGGCCTGCGTCCGAGTGACCCAGAAGCTGTCCAGGGCAGGTAATCAGGGTGTGTGGGGCAAAGGCATAGCCCAAGTCATCCTACCAGACCCAGGGACCAAGCTGACCAACTGGAGGACACTGTGTGACCTGGTCTTCAACCCCAACACATTCTCCTGATGCCTCACGCCTCAACATGCCTCCCTGATCCTGCTGGCTGGACACCTACGGCCCACCGACCCTGGGACCTACTTCTCTCGCAGACTCTGCAGTTCCTTCCTGATGTCAGCATCCTCAATCTCTGAGTCATTGTCACTGCTGATGTAGGACGACTGGGAGTGAAAGGAAGTAACGCTGATGGTTGGGACCTTCACACCCGTCCTGCTGGGTGTCTCCAGGCCCGGCGAATCAGCTGGCGAGGACCTGTGCAGAAAGGCGGTGGCCTTCTTCACCAAGTCACTAGCCATGCCCCCGCCACTGGGCAGGGAGGCGTTCTTCTGTGGGGGGAGCCTCCGGCGTGGGCATTCATCCCCAGAGTCACTAGATGCAGGCTCGCCCATGCCAACCTCAATGGAGGAGGCCGTCTGGGCCCGCCGCACAGCCAATTTCACATCAGGGCTGCGGGGAGCCTGGTCCAGGTAGACATCGGGTGGGGCCGAGTACCGAAGGCTGTGGGGTGAGGCCAGGGTCCACTCGTCCTGGGTGCTGACCACAGAGAACCGGCCCATAGTTTTGGCTGGCGAGCTGCTATCCTGCTGCCCTGACCGCTTCCGAGGGGATCCAGAGGCCAGAGCACTATGCATCTGGGGGTGGTCAGCCTGGCCATCCTCCATCAACGTCCCGGGGCAGCTCTGCATGGGTTTAGCCAAGGTTTCCCTGGGGGACCCACTGCTCTGGCCTGTGCGTTCCAATTGTACAGGAGTGACAGAAGCGGCGGCATCCTTTGGAATAAGCAAAATGAGAGGATTCCACCTGAATACAGTGAAGACCACCCCACCAACAGGCCAAGCATATCATCAGAGAAATACCCTCACCTTGGGGGCGCTGGGTGCTGGGTGTGAATCTGAAGCCACACATCCTCCATCGGAGCCCAGAGAGTTACTGGAAGATGATTCTGCTGTTGGGACATCAAAACCATTACTTGGGCTGGAGATGGGGACAAAGGACTGGCCAGGCCAAGCGAGTGGACTACGTGGGAAAGCAGCAGCCCAAGGGCAGCAGGGCCACGGAGGAGCCGTGGGAGCTCACTCCTGGCACTAGGACACTGCAGACACGGGCGGCCTGCCCATCACTCACAGGAACAGCCCACACCCAGGAAGGAGCAGTCGACCCTGCCTCATGCGGTCTGGGGCAGCACCTGTGCCATCCTTCAGATTGGCCAGGCATTCTATGCCTGTCTCACCTGTACCTCATCACCTGATGGAACCACCTATCTCACCTAGTACTTCGTCACTTGATGCAGTCATATCTCACCTATCATCTCATCACCTGATGGCGTCACTTATATCACTCTGACCTGTTATTTCACCACCTGGAGGGATCACCTGTCTCATCTGATATAGCTGTATCACCTGATCCATCACTTGTCTCACCTGTCATCTCATCACCTGATGGAGTCACCTGTCTCACTTGTCATCTCAGCACCTGATGGCATCGCCTGTCTCACCTGACATCTCTCACCTGGAAGAAATCAATAAAGTGATTCTATCCCTACTGCCAACATCTAGGGAAGGTCAGGTCACCTGAGGTGTCTCCGATGCGGACCCAGCGTTATTCTGACCAGCTTTCTGAGATTGCTATGAGAGCGAATGAGAAGCAGCATGTTCATGGAGGTTATGGGGGGGCTGACCTGAGCCAAACTAAGCTGAGACCACAGCAAAAGAAAGAGTGGGCAAGAGAGCCACGTGAATACCTCACGCTGAACCTACATGCTGCAGTGAGGGAGACAGAGGCCAGAGGCCTCCAGGAGGCTGCCTGGGGCCGCCCTGCCAACCCAGATTCCTGCAGAACTTACCTACCGTAACCCCGCCTGCGGCATGCTTATCACCCCCTCCAAGGACCTACAGTGGTGTTCATCCTCTCTGCATTCCTCCAGAAGTGGGGGCTCACTGCCAACTGTACTCCCTCTGTCCCTACACATCCCTGACCACCAGAAGCATCACCCTTCCGTCCCAGAATCTGCTGCCTGGAGCTGCCTACACTCCTGCATGCACAGGCGTGGCTCAGTAGAGGCTCCAGCAGCTGGAGCGCCGTGCTGCTTCCCCATCTGCAGAGGCGCCATGGCAGGCCGTGCATGCGGGAGGCCCAGAGCAGCGGCAGCCATGTGGGGCAGCTTCTTGCCTGCCCCCCCCCACGCCTGCATCCTCCCCAGAGAAGTGCCCTGCACTGCAGCTTCTGACCAGCGCCTACTGCCCACGCCTCCGAGGCATGGCATTGGTGAGTTGTCACATCTGCAGAGCCAGCCAGAGTTAGGGGTCCCTGTTGCGCCGTGAGCTGCAGGAGAGCTGTGCTACCACAGTGCAGTCTCCTCCTAGGAGGCTCAACTGCATCCTCATCTTGATAATTTGCCCAGCCAAGGGGGAGTACGCCACTTAGGTCAGACCAGCACCCTCAGGTAGACACAGGTGCTCGCAGGTAAAGAAACTGCAGCACCGTGCCCACAGCCACACAGGAGACCCAGGAACCACAAGAAGTCCCATGTCAGATGTCTGGGTGGCCCTTCAGCTTCTGTGGATCTCCTAGACCCCAGTCCCACCCAAGATAACCTTGGGCATCTTGTAACATCTGCAGCCCGCAGCACAAGTGAGGACACTTGGTCCGTGGAGCCTGTGAGGACCACATCCTGATTCCTGCCTGTGGCTCTCATTTCCAGACAGCCTGCCACCTGGGATGTGGCTCGTGGCCTCTGGTCGGTCTCAGCGGGCTACACAGCGTCACTACAGCTCTGGCTCCGGGCCCAGTGCCCAGTGCCCTGGGATGGCGAGGGGACAGACGCAGAATATTTCAGAGCAAGGACATACTAGGAGATGGACTGGTGGCCTGGGGCTCATTACCTGTCACCACCGATGAGGATGTGGCCTGCTCCAATGTGGATCCCCCCCCAGGGACTATTTCTGACTTCTCCACCTAGAGAAATGAGACAGACACAGTTGTGAGCCTTCCCTGTGGCCACTGCTGCCAAGTGGCCAAGTGAAAAACCTGCTGCTCCTGCCTGAAGGCTGGCCCCCAAGCCCCAGGTTGGGGGTGTCGGGTGTGGTTCTGTGTGACGCCTGCCCTGCCCAGGTCTCCCTGGAGACCACACCTCTGGGAGGATCAGGGCACTCACCTCCAGCTGGGGCAGCAGAGCCGGGTCCCCCCTGGCTGCCTCTGTGCGGGGTCGGTCCCCTCTCAGGGGCTCCAGGGTGAAGTCTTTGTCACTGGCCTCCATGGGGGTCCCGGCTGAGGCAGAGGAGGTGGGCACATGCTCCTGGTAGAGCAGAGTACGCAGCTTCTCGTCCAGGCTCTTGATAGTGCTGTCCACAAAGCCCACCCTGGGGGGCGGCCCTTCCCCATCAGACTCCAAGGCAGAGGGTGGCTGTGGGGGTGCAGTGGGGCCCAGCGGGGGGCTGGGGAGCTGGGGGGTAGCCATGCTGACCGCCCCCACCACAGTGGGGACAGGTGCTAGGGCCTGGCCCAGGGCAGGCTGAGGGGCCCCACTGGGGGCACTGGGCACAGGGGCTGGGGCTGGCAGGGGCTCCCCTTGGACACTGCCTTTCCTGGCTGAGAGAGGCTCTGCCAGACCCAGAGGGTGGCGAGGGGCGTCTGCGGGTGGGATGTAAGGCTCTTGGCCCTCACCAAGGGACCCTGTGGCAAGCTGGGTGTCATGAGTCTCTGCCAGTGGCCGGAGAGGCTCACGCTCACTGGCCGACCCCTGAGGGGCCCCTGGGCCCCCTGCCAGCATGGCAGCCCTTGCTGCAGGCTCTGGCTTGGGGCCGGCAGCCGTTGCACTTGCATCCTGGGGCAGAGTCGCCACAGGAGGGGAGGATGGCACCAAAGAGGCTGGTGTGCTGCCAGGGGTGTCCCTGGGGCCTGCTTGGCTCAGAAGTTGTGGAGCAGCCGGGACGCCAGGTTTCTCCTCCAGGGACAGTTGGTCTTTACTGGGTGCTGGGTCTAGAGGAAACAGGAAAAGGCCTCTGTACTGGGCCCTCTGGCCCCATGCACTGGCACTTCGCTGGCCAAGAAAGATGTTTTCTACACCTAGTAGCAGCCCTGCACACAAGTGCCCCTGCTGAGGTCAGGTCCACAGCCCCCCAACCCCTCCCCCTCACTTCTGCTCCAGTACCATCCACCACACGCCGCTGTGCTTGGGGTTTTCCCATAGCAGGACCATCGGACCTGCTACCTGTCTTCAAGGGTCCTCCAAGGTCTCCTGCCAGGTGAGTTCATGCAAACAAGGTTCTGGCTGTGTGCACTGGCTCTTCCCCGCAGGGATAGAGGAAGACAGAACTGGGTATGTGGGTGGTAAGTTGTGGGCACTCCCTGCCCTGAGTGAGCAGGACTCCAAAGCTCTGATGGCAGGCTTTGGTAAGGTCAGTGCAGCCCCAGCTTCTGGCCAGGGGATGGACAAGTGATAGGCTGCAAATCAACAGTGGGGCAGCCCCCACAGCAAACTGCCTGCCCCAGGTGTTCTGGGGCCTGGAACACCCAAGTACTGGATACAGGATACAGTGTTTTCCAAATTTACTTGGCATTTACTGAAAACTTCTTTTTAAAGAACACACACAAAATGCACAAAAATGAAAAGCTTTGGGAGTAGGGGACACAGCCAGGATAAGAAGCCCCTGATTCAGCTGCCCCTTCCCCAGCACTGGGTATTAACTTTGACACCATTTCCTCTTGCCATATACTGCAGCCCTCAGCAGACCTGGAGTGTCACCTGCCCTTGTGCTCTGGCGCCTGCTTCTCGCCCCGTGTTGGAGGCACCTGAGCTGCACACCTAGACAGCTTGCTGCTCACTGCCCGCCCCGTGGGGCCCCGGCTTCTGCCAGAGCAGGCCACGAACACTAACACAATGTGTGTGAGGGGCTGTGCACCGCTATGTACACACAATTCAACGTGAACACTAACAAGCAGATTTTCTCCCTTTGTAGGATGTTCAACTTAGTACTGTTTCTTTCCCGGTGCAGAAGCCTGTTAATTTGATGTAGCTCCACTTAGGCCTTTTTGCTTATGCTTTGCCAAGACCAAAGTCAAAGAAGTTTTTCCCTATATTTTCTTCTAGGGTATTATAGCTTATCCTATACAGCTTGTCCTATATATCAGTTTATCCTGTCTGTCTGTCTATCTATCTATCTATCTCTAAGATATAACAGTCTTCTATAAGTCTGTATTTGAGCTGATTTTTGTGAATAGTAGGAGATAGGGATCCAGTGTAGTTTTTCTGCCTGAGACCATCCAGTCTTCCCAACAATATCGGATGGGGAGATCATCTTTCTCCATTGTGTGTACTTGGTGTCTGTGTCATAGATTAGTGGACCATGTATGTGTAGGTGTGTTTCTGAGCTCTGTATTCTGCTCCACTGGCCTATGTTTTATTAGTTTGTTACTTTGGTTTTTTTTTTTTTTTTTTTTGAGAGATGGGATGGGCTATACCATATTATTTTGATTGCGGTAGCTTTATAATTTGACCTCAGGAAGTGAGGATGCCTTCGGCTTGGTTCTTCTTTCTCAAGATTGCTTGGGCTATTTGGGAACGTTTGTAATTCCATGTGAACTTCAGGACTGCTTTCTTTGTTCACTTCGGTGAAAAGCCCCCCCTGGAATTTTGATAGGGATTGCACTGAAACTGTGGATTGTTTTGAGGCAAGGAACGAGCAGCATTTCCTTCTTGGGAACCTATCTTAGACTTTTGACGAGGTCTGCTGTTGATGCTCTCTACTGTGATTTCCATTCCACCTGCTGTGTTCTTCTGCTCCCAAATTTGTCTTGCAAGGACTTGTTTACAATCCATATGATATTATCCATATAAAAATCACATTTTCTGCAAGTAAAAACAGTTTTGTTTCTTCCTTTTCAGGCACATGCATCTTATTTGTATTTCTTGCCTATCTGGAAGTCTAGCTAAGATTTCAAGTTCAGTTTGGAGCGCGAGTTCAAATGAATAGCTATAAATAGGGTGGACTTGTGTGCCTTGATCCCAATCTCAGGGAAAACATACTTGGCCTTACACCATTAAATATATTAGCTGTCATTTTCTGTAGTTTCCCTTCATCAATTTGATGACACTCCCTTGGGTTGCTAGTTTGCTGATAATTTTTATCATGAATGGATGTTGCATTTTGTCAAATAATTTTTTCTATTTCAACTGATATGAATGTGCGTCTTTCCCTTTGTAGGAAAAGGACATTCCTTTCATTACTAGTGTTGTGGGTTGGTTTTTAACTATTGCCTTCCTGGAATCCAATCCAATTTGTTATGGTATAATAATCTTTGTCTATACTATTGAATTTGACATGCTAATAAATATTTTCTGAGACATTCAGATCCCTTATGTCCAAGAAAAACTCTGGTTTGCAATTCTTTCAATTCTTTTTTGGGTTTGGGTTCTTTTTTTTTTTTTTTTTTCCATATGTGCACATATTCCACTTACCCTTTACCAACCCACACAGGCCCATGCCCCATCTGCCTCCTTCTCTTATCTCTTCTGCCTTCCCTCCACCCCCCATTCCCTCTGGTAACCATTATATTATCTCACTGAACCCAAGATTTATACCTAATATATTTTGCCTGTGTATGTTTCTTGATTATTTATATTCCACAGATGAGTGAAATCACTCCAGGTCTGTCTTTCACTTTTTGACTTATTTCACTTAACACAATCACCTTGAGGTTCATCTATTTCAACCCAAATGCCACCAGTTCATCTTTTTTGCAACTATCTAGTATTGCTTTGAGTATATATTCCACAATTTCTTTAGCCAATCATCTGTTGACGGGCATATAACTTGGTTGTATGACGTGGCAATTGTGGACAGTGCCACTATGTACATAGGCATAGATAAATCTTTTCATATTAGAAGTTTCATATTATTTGGATAAATAACTAATAGAGGTAGTGCCAGGTCACGTGGAATATCCATTTGTATTTCCTTAAGAAATCTCCCTGCTGTTTTCCATAGGTGCTACACCCACTTGCATTCCCAACAATAGAGGAGAGCTCCTTTTTCATCTCAACCTCACCAACATTTGTTGATTCCTTTTAATATGGACCATCCTCACAGGGGTGAGGTAGTACCTCGATGTAGTTTTGACTTGCATTTTCTTTATAATAAGTGATGCTGAACAATTTTTCATGTCTATTGGTCATCTGAATGTCTTCTGTTGAAAAGTATCTGTTTAGGTCCTTTGCCCATTTTTTTAAATGGGCAGCTTATTTGCTGTTGGGTTATATAAAAACTTTGGAAATTTTGTACCTTTGTATGAAAGGCAATTTTCCCCTTCATTTTATAAATTGCCTTTTTTTTTTTTGCAAGGGTTCCTTTTGAGGTACAAAAGTTTTTAAGTTTGATGAACCCCACTTGTTCATTTTTGTTTTGGTTTCCACTGCTGTTGGGGTTGAGCCACCAAATACACCTTTGTGGTAGATGTCCTGTATGGTAGCCCCGATAGTTTCTTTCAATTACTTTATGATTTCAGTGCTTATAGCCCAGATCCATTTTGAATTAATTTTGCGTTTGGAGTTAGGTTTGGGTCTTATCTTTTTCTCTCTTTCTTTCTTTTTTCTTAATAAGTGACTCTCTATGTTTCCCAGCACCATTTATTAAAGAAACTATATTTTGTCCATTGTATGGCCATAACTCCTTTGTCAAAGATTGTCTATGTGTGTGGGTTTATCTCTAGGTTTTCAATTCTTATTCTGTTGGCCTGAGTTTCTGTTTTTGTTTCAGAATCATACCGTTTTGATTATTTTGCTGTGTAAAATAGTTTGAAGTCAGAAAGTGTTATACCATTTTTCTTATTTTCTCTCAGGACTGTTTCTAATAGAGGTAGTGGTTCCATGTAAATTTGATAATTGTTTTTATTTCCTTGAAAAAAATTATTGGTATTTTAATAGTCATTGTAGTGAATCTAGAAGTTGCTTTGGGTAGTATGGCCATTTTAATGATGTTAATTTTTACAACCAATGACCATAGGATATCTTTCCATTTCTCTTTATATTCTCTTATTTCCTTTAACACTGTTTTATGATTTTCAATGTGCAGGTCCTTCACATCATTCATTAGGTTTATTCCCAGTATTTCTGTTATTTTTGGCATGCTTGTAAATGGGATTGTAGTCCCTTTCTTCTGAGTCATTGTTGCATGTAGAAATGCCACTGATTTTTAGTATGCTGATTTTGTAAGGTGCCACTTTACTGTATCACTACTACTAGAAGTTTTTGGTAGAGTCTTTTGGTTTCTCTAAATATATTAACATGTCATCTACAAATAGAGACAGTTTCACTTCTTTTTTTTCCAATTTGGAATCCTTTTATGTCTTTTTCTTGCTTAATTGCTTCAGCTAGGGCTTTCTATTACTAAGGTGAATCATAGTAGTATAGTGGATATCCTTGTCTTGTTCCTGATATCAGTGGGAACACTTTCAACTTTTCACCCCTGAGGTTGATATTGGCTGTGGGTTTATCATTCATGACTATTATAATCTTTAGATAGGTTCCATTTATTCCCATTTTTGGAGTGTCATAAAAGGATGTTGTATATTGTCAAATGCTTTCTTTGGCATCTATGGAGATGATCATGTTATTTTTCTCTCCCTTCTTGCTGATCTGGTAAATGACACTGATTTCATATGCTGAACCAGCCTTGCATCCCTGAGATAAAACTAACTTAGTCATGGTGAATGATACTTTTGATATGTTGCTCTACTCAGTTTGCTAGAACTTTGTTGTGGATATTTGAATCTATGTTCATCAGAGATATTAGTTTATAATTTTCCTTTTTAGTACAGTTTTTGGTTTTGGGATCAGGGAATGTTGGGGTAATATAATGTATTGGAGAGTTTTCTTCCCTCTTCAACTTTTTTGAAGAGCTTGAGTAAGACAGGTATTGGCTTTTCTTTGAAGGTTTAGTAGAATAACT